CAATCACAGCAAGGTTAGTACAAAGCCAAAAGCAAACTTACTGGTGTTCTGACCTTTGTCTTTGATTATATTACCTGCTAGGGGGTTTCATTATGATGTTTGGGGACAAACATTGTAGGGGGGGAAAATAGGTCACAATCAACTCCTGTGTTTAAGGAGAAAAAGAACTATAAAGACAACCTTAAAAGAAAAAATTAAGCCGGTAGTTAGATCATTTACAAGTCAACAGTTCCTTAAAAATTGTTTCCCTACTTCAGGATAACTTTTTGGGTTAGATCTTCTCCTGTTTTGACCCTTCTGTTTTATAGTACCTGGAAGGGCATTCCATTTCACCAAGAAAACAAAAATACCCACTACTTTCCACTTTTATGATCTCCTGTATTCTAAGAGAGTAAGTTGGGTTATTTCATGTACATTCATGTACACACACACAATTACGACTAATTAGTCCTATTTTAGTTCATAAATGCTGCAAGTTTCTTAGCAGACTCTTTGACGTTGAGTTCGTTTATCTGTAAAAGATTGGCCCTTTCCAGGCTTTAGAACTCATCTCATTGGTACTGAATCAGAACTGCCTTACAGCTGAGCATACATTGGGTTTAAGAGGTTGTAAATTGGATGGCTGGAGCTTACCTATAATTTTCCCCCCAGAGTTGTTGTTGGATTTGAACCTTCATAGAGGTGTGGCATTTGGGTTAGCAGAGCACCCCTCTATCAACTAACCCCCAGAGCTCCCTAAAACCTCATCTTACAATAACACTGGGGAAATCCAAAGCAAAAAGTAATACTACTTGATTTACTTTTAAAATTTACTTTTATTTAAGTGAAAGTTTACAAATCAAATTCTTTCATACTATCATTTATAGGTTTTTATGACATTAATTGCCATTGATTGATATAATTATTTATACTATCAAACCAACCACATATTATGTATTTCTTTTACCTTCACTCAACTTATTTAAGAATGTTTAGCCCTCTTTATTCCTTTCTATTCTTGTTATTCTTTCTAGATTGATTGTCTCTGTATGTAAAACTGTCCTTAACTTTTTTATAGTCCTGGTCTTATACTATAACTGCCTTTTCTAACTAGCTTATATCACACATCATTAATGTTCTAGATTCATCCATGTTGTACACGGATGTTCATCCATGTTTATGAATCCTTGACTATTCTTAAATGATGCATATTACTCCATTGTGTGAATTAACCTCAATTTCTTTAGTCTTTTGTTCCTTGATGGATACTTGGGCTGTTTCCAATTGCATTAAATGGGAAAAATACAGTCTTTTAAACAAAGAATGATGGCAAGAAGAGATATCTATTTGCAGAAAAATTGACGCAATCATACCTTGTATAAAAATTAATGTGTAATAGATCAAGGACCTAGACAGAAAACCTAAAACTATAAATATTATCAAAGGAAAAATCAGGGCCAGTTTAGGATCCTTAAGCTATGGCATAAATGTTACTGTTGTGATGTTCTATCACATCAATTCAGACTCGTAGGTAACTCATAAGCAGGTTCTCAGAGGCTGTAAATCCCATGGGAGAAGGTTAATAATGTCCCCCCCAAAGAGCAGCTGCTAGACTCAAACCAAAGCCTTTGGGTTGGCCGTACAAACAATACCTTAGCCACTAGGTGACCAGAGCTCTGTGGCATAAGTATAACTGAAAATGTATGACTAATTAATGTTGATTTTGATCTCCTAAGAATTAAATCCTTATGTGCATCTAGAGACTCTAAAAATTGGGAAATGTGTTGGGCAATGACCCAAAGATTAGACTATTAACTTTAAAATTTACGGAAAGCTCCTACATTTATCAAATAACTCAATTAGAAAATGGGTAGAGAGCATGAATGGACATTTCACCAGAGAAGCTATTTAGATTGTCAATGAACCCAGAAAACAATTCTTCAAGATGACTAGCTATTAGCAAAATACAGTTAAAAATATCAATGAGGTATCATCTCACCCAGAAACAGTAGGAGAGCTGAACAAGACAACAATTAATAAATGCTGGTAAAAGTATAGGGATATGGGAACCCTCATACACCACTGGTGGGAATGTAAAATGATGCAATCACTAGAAAACAGTTGAGACTTTCCTAGGAAGTTGGAAATAGACATACCATTTGACCCAGATATCACACTACTAAGGTACTCGTCTCAGAGATATGAACTGCAGCACAAACTGATATGTACACACTCATGTTTATGGCATTATTATTTACTATGCTACACTTTTTTGATTAATCATCAAAATTATCTAAGCTTCATCCCAGTGATGCCATGAATCTGTTTTCAATAATTCTCTAAGCACTCCTTCTCAATCTGTATCACTTTACTATTAAAAAGATACCGTGCTAAGGAAAAAAAAATATATGCTTTTCTCTGATTCTGTGATAAGACTTATCTAGATTTCCAGTTGTAGCTAGGGAGCTAAGCAACACCTTGGATATCTGTCAATGAAAACGAATCAGAGACTAGACCAAGAGCTTATGAGACCAAATCTTCAATCTCTCGCCAGAAGTCACTACTGTGCTAATCGGAGTAGGTCATTAGGTGAGGATAATAAACTTAAGAATATTTTAGTAGGTCATTCTTAGAAAAGTTTTCCAGAACTGTGGTATTTCTACCTTTTCTTAACCATTGGGAATTCTATGACATCTATGATTCCCATGCATAAGAGGTATGTTAGGGAGCTCATCATTCATTACACTGTAAGCACCATACAGGCAAAGTCTCGCTGTCTTACTTGCTTCTCTATCCCTAACACCTGGCAATGTCTTTAGAATTATAATTTCATGATGAGTATGTAAATTTAATGAATAATTATTAGACAGATGTAGTGGCTGAACAGAATTATCTAACTTATTTTTTTAACAGACTGCACTATTTGTCAGAGTTGAAACAAAGCAGTATTTCCTTTAAAAAATCTGTACAGAATTGTGACTGTGTGTAACAATTCTCAGTTTTCTAAACCAGCAGAAAATGTCTCATTTTAAGTGAGGACTTTAAAAGGTTATACAAATGCATCATTCATTTTCAAGCTCCCACGAAAGGGTGCGTAAACATAAGAGACACTTACTAAATATATATCAGATGAATGACTGTGTGAATAAAGGATCTTCGACTTTAAACAGTTGATTCCTCTCATTATTTAAAATTTTTTATACTCTGAGTTACCTATACATGACGTACTAATGTCATTGACATTTACAAAGAGAAAGCAAAAGTCAAAGATGGCCCAATCTATCTTGAAGGAGAATGTGGAATAAGTAGAGAGAGAGTAGTCATAAATTGTGAGGATATCAAGGTTGACAGGGGTGAAGCTTTCAAAGGAAAAAAAGTACAAATTGGTTAAAAATAGTTGTGCCTTTCCCAGGAGCTTGAAAAAAAGCTGGGACAAAAAAGGTGCCTTGAAACCTAAGTTTCATTTGTTTTATAATAAATCAACTGTGTCCATAAGGTATATGATATATCAAAAATTTTTGGGTTTTCTTCAGAAACTCTACTCTGTTTTAAGGAATCAGGTTTATAATATTCACTGTGTGATTTGTGGTGCCTCACACCTGGTAGTCATTTACAGTAAACCTGATGTCAATATGTTTTCTGAACATACCTAACTGAGAAATTATCTTTTGATTTAGCAACTATTAACATTTCTAAGATTGTTTTCCTATAGTGTGTTTGATTTTGTCTCTGTACCTTCATAACACTCTCATATTCTTTTTGAAAGTATGTATCATTGTCGGACAGCTTTAAGGGCCTCTGGTGGCATAGACCATAGAGAGTTGCGCTGCTAACTTAAAGGTGATGTGTCTCTGGAGGTTTGAAACAGTGAGAACATGAAGTAAGGTGGGGGGGAAGGAGAGAGGGAGGGAGGGACGGAGGAGAAGGCAAGAGAGGAAGGCTGGAAAAGAGGGGAGAGAAGAGGAGAGGAGAGGAGAGGAGAGGAGAGAAGAGGAAGGGTGGGAGGCAGAGATGGAGGGAGAAGAGAAGGTTGAGAGAACATTGGTGGCTTAATGGTAAGGAGTTGTTCTGTCAACCCAAAGGCATGTGGTTTGACTCCACCAGCTGCTCAATGGGAGGGAAAAAGATGAGCAATTTCTTTCTATGTGATTTACGGGCTCTGAACATCCACTGGAGGGTCAGCTATTAATTGCTTTTCACTTGATAGTACACAGTAATAATAAAAATAATAGCGAGAAAAAAACTCAGAAAAATTAAAGAACCAGATTAACTAACCAGTACGTTAAAAACAACAACAAAAAAAACCCAACCTAGTGCTTTTTAAAGAGATTTATATACTTACAATATTTAATTTTCACCAAATCTACAAAATGCATAAATGTGTGTGCCCAGTTGTTATAAGAGAGAACTCTGGAGACATAGTGGCTGATGAGTTGTACTATCAACTCAAAGCAGGCTTGATTCATGACAATGAGTTGTTATATTGTTGTTATTGTAACAGGTAAGTCAACTGAAACAGTGAAAAGTTGATTTGACATGATTCTAGGACTTTTGAAAAAAACTTGGAATACTCAAGTTGTTTTGCTCAAAGTACTTTCAGTTTACTAATTGTTTTAGATAACTGCAAATATGTGTGCAAACAATCTCTAATAGAAATGTAGAGATGTTATTTTTAATTATGTATTTATATCCATTAATGAAAGTGTTATGTAGCAAGAGAACAATGGTTATTAAGTAAAACTGCTCAAGGAAATACTTCCCAGAACTTAAAAGTCTTGCTTAGATGAGATTTACGAATGTCTGTCTGTCTGTCTGTATGTTGTTGTTGTTGTTGTTGTTGTTGTGTACCATCAAGTCAGAACCAACCTGTAGCTGACCCTCCAGCAGGTCTTCAGAGCCTATGATCACATGGGAGGAGTTTGCCCATCCTTCTCCCACAGAGCAGCTGGCAGATTCCAATCAAAATGTATGTATACAAAACTTTGTTTTCTTTTCAGAAAAGCTGCAATGAATTTCGACAAATGATAAATAAAGGAGAATGTGACAGGAATCTTAATGAAAAGAAAATGGAAAAGTGTCAAGACTGCCTAAATTCGTAAGTAAAGCCTCTTTTTTAAAATATTTAACTTGCATTTGATTTGACTTCGACTTGTGTTTGTGTGTATTTATTTCAAATGTATTTTTTTCTAGATCTATAGGGTAAATAAAGGTTTTAGTCATTTAATCTGACCCCTCCTCCCATCAGATTCATCTGGGAAGAGTTTAAGAACCACTCATAGTGTATTTAAAAAAATGTTCAGAAAGTTTGTTAGTAATATCTTATGAAGTACACTATTCTTTTGGGAACATGGTTCCAGTTAGAGCTTCCTAGCACTGAGAAGGATTTAAAAGAGGAAATCAGCTTCCTGGGGCCTGTTACAACCTGACCATTGTATCCTAGGGACTGAGAGGAACCCCTTGAGTATGAGGCAGTAAGCAAAAAAGATGGATTTCAACAGGATACTCTCTGTCCTGTAAGCTGGAAGTAGCTTCAATATCTGGGATAAATATTGAGTTGAGCTGGATCAAAGAATAACTGGAAGCTTCCTACTCCCTACAGCTCAGGAAAAAAATGATGATCCTAGCAGAGCTAGTGTATCAATCCAAAGTTTTTTAACTTGATTTTCTTTTCTTCTTTGGCATTCCATAACACAAAGAAGACCTGATTTATCAATTAAAAAAATCTCCACACTAGGATTTCCTGTTGATTTTTGAACACTGAAGTCATCTTTAGCTTCTGACCATGGACAAAATGTCAACACTGGTGTCAAGCCAGTATTATTAAGCTTACACATTTCGGTTAATTATGTGATAATTGGCTTTTAAAATTCCAAGTGGTATGTGTCAGGGGATTTAATTTGACATACCCAGTAATACAGGGATAATGAAGTTCTAATCACATGCATTGCTTCTAGTGAACACATGGTGGGAAAGTGAAATACTGAAGGTGTCGGGAAAGACTGAGGGTGCAGGATGCTCAGAATATGGGAATGAGACATCTTTTCTTACTCTTTTTAATAGTGATTTCAAACCAACAGTTGTTTTACAACCTAATTTGATGTTTTCTTGTTTCATTAGATGTTACTGTTAAAAAAAAAAATTCATCCTAACCATATTTACTGGAAAATAAATTTTATTTCTGTGACTATAGGAAGGCATTTACTCTGTGATCACAGCAAATTATAGCTAACCTTGAGGAGAATAGGAATCCCAGAACAGTTGATTGTGCTCATGTAAAATCCAAACTTGGATCAGGAGGCAGTCCTCAGAACAGAGCAAAGACACACTGCATGGTTCAAAGTCAGGACAGGAGTGCTTCAGGGATGTGTCCTGTCTCCATCCCTTTTCAATCTATATGCAGAACAGATCATTTGGGAGGCTGGGCTTTATGAGGAGGAATGTGGCATTAGGTTCAGAGGTAGACTCATCAACAACCTACATTATGCAGATGACACAACCTTCCTTGCCAAAACTGAGGACCTAAGGTGTTTGCTGCAGAAGGTTAAGGACTGTACTTTCAACATGGATTGAAGCTCAACCTTAAGGAAACAACTATTCTCACATCTGGGCCAAATGGCAACAACATGATAAGTTAAGAAGAGATTGAGGTTGTTAACAATTTCAACTTTTTGTCCCCACAATCAACACTTGTGGTGGCAGCAACAGTCAGGAAATTGCAAGTGGACAACACAAATTGCAGTTGGAAAATCTGTAGTCAGGGACCTCTCCAGAGTAGTGAGAAGCAAAGATGTTAGTCTCAAGACTTAGACAGGCCATGGTCTTCGCAATTACTTGCTATGCATCTGAGAACTGAACAATGACTAAGGTTGACACAAAAAGAATTGATGTCTTTGAGTTGCAGTGCTGGAGAAGTGGATTAAACATACCACAAACCAACAGAAGAACAAATAGGTCTGTCTTAGAGAGGGTGAAATGAAGTTTCTCCATGGAAGTTAAGATTTTGAAGCTCTGTCTCAGATAATTTGGTTATGTGGCTAGGAGGGACAGGTCCTTGGAGAAAGACACCAAGCTCAGAAGGGTGGAAGGACAGCACAGGAGAGGAAGACCCCAGATGAGATGGATTGACACAGTAACTGGGGTAATGGGGATAGGTGTGTTGGGGTCAATGAGACTGCCTCAGGACAGGGCAGACTTCAGAGCTGTTATGAGTCACAGGTGACTTGATGTCATATAACAAGAACAATTGAAAAGTAAAAAGTGTTAAGACACAAAAGGCAGTTTGTCACTTTACAAGCCATTCACTAAACTATTGTTTTTATTACGTGTGTAAATTATGGGGAAATCAACTAAAACTTTTAATTTAAAAAGGAAAAGAGTGCAAAACATAACATTGATCCTTAAATTGCTGAAAGACCATGTTTTGAATCAATACACAGAAGCAAATTCTGTTCATTGTGAGTAATGATCTTTGACACAGCAGCTCAGCAATGAAACAGGTATCTTTTAGGGTTGTTGATCATAGACTTGGAAATATTTAAGAAAGGTAGTTTGTTATAAAGATATTATTTCCTTGATAGAACTTTTCTTCAATAGAGGCATGCTTGAGATATTGTTTAGCATTGCAGAGAGATTTGGATACTGCTCATTTTTGAGCTTACTTCCAATTGTGTTATATTAGACTGGGTTGAAGACAGCAGTTTTGTAAAGTAAGTAGTGAAAATTGGATGAGCCTTTCTATGCTGTTCTTTTACTTCTTTCAGGGAAAATAAGGAAGGCCAAAGAATGCCCCTCGGACCTGTAAGAATCCGCAGGGCCATTGCCCCGGTAAAGGTAAGACAGTTTGGAGTCAACATGTCACGTTTGCTTTAGAGATTACGCTTGACTCTGTTTACTTCCTAATTACTAGGTCATACTTGTTGTGAAGGTATCTCCTTAAAAGGGAGGGAACATGGCTTAGTCAGGGTATAGCATGACCCAACTCTCAAAAAAATTTGGGCCCTGACAGATATCTACCTGCTGAGAGATGAGGTATGCTAATGTAATGTCTGTCATTTATGGTCATCTCTCATTCTAATTCCTTTTTGTATTACCAATAAGAGGTTTCTTGGGACTCTAAAACTAAATTCATCTGAGTCCTTATTTATAGTTCATGTCATTTGGATAATATACCTTCCTTTCTTCTTAAAAAGAAGACTTCATGTGGACCAAATGAGAAAGTTTAAAATGTCAGCCACAACATTTAACCTATGTTAATCAGCTCTTTCTTTTATTTCGCATCTTTGCTTCCTACTTAAAACAAAGTTGCTTGTTATACTTATTTTGCAGGTTGAGATTCAGATTAGTAGTTGAGAGATGTGTTCTGTGGTAAAATATAAATGATCTTAAAAAATAATAGCACAAATTTCGCCCGTGACACAATATAATCATTTAGTGAGACTAGTTCACAGTGTCTCACAATGTTATTGATGACCATGGGATATAACCAAGCATCCTGAACACAGTTTCCATCACCACAGTTTCCATCACCACAGTCTCCCTGTGTAACTTCTTCCCCAGTATCCTCTTTCTCACTCACCTCTTCTGACCCTGACACATAATTAAAATGATCATTCAGGGCAGGGCACACCCAAATTGCTTAGTGAATCCCCAGCCTAACCAAGCTACCATCTTCCTTGGCAGAGTTACTGTGGAACGCCTGGGAACTTCAGCCTCCGCAGTAAATCTATTCAACTAAATTCTTTGTCTGGGCTCCACCAGTTTCACATTTAAAGCAATACATCTTATAATCACAATCAACACTTGATTGGTTAATAACTGATCATTCTTGATCTCCAGCAATCTCTGTGCTCTACACAATTTATGGGGCTGGGCAAGTTCACTGGTCACTTTAAAACTGGCCATTATTTGTTACATTTTTAAGATCCCTTCTCCTCTTTGTGTTATTCATTAAAAATTAATATAGCAATAGCTTTTAAAAGTATAAAATATAAACCAATCACTCAAAAGTATGCACATACAAACTGATGCTGGCAACCTGGCTGTTTTTAAAAGAAATCCAGTCAGATGTTCCCATATCTAAATGTACAGTCACTGGGATTAAAAAAAAAAAAAACGTTGAAAGTTTAAGAATACATTAAGGGGAGTTCTAAGACATTCTACCTCTCTGGCAATGAGTTAGGGAGAGCTCTGGTGGTGAAGCCCATAGAGAGCTGTGCTGGTAATCCAATGGTGGCTTCTCTGTGGTGAATCAAAACAACCAGTGGCTCTACATGGGCAAGATGAGCAATCTCCTCTCTTGTGACTTACAGCCTCAGAAAACCTGCTGGAGGGTCAGTTGTGAGTTGATTCTGGCAATGAACTGCTTTGGTTTTAAACTAAAGTGATAAGCTCGATTCCTAATTTCCACTTTCATATGAAATTCGTAGATACTACACTGTAGCTTTCTATAAATCATTTGAAACTACCTATCAATGACAGCAGTTACTATGTGATGTATATACTGCAAGTGTTTTAAATCTGGATTTTTTGGTTTTCTTTATTTGGAAGGTTGTGTATAATTGAAATCTTTTTCTATTGTTATTGTTCTCGCTTTCTCACTTTCTCTGTTTTGATGTTGATAAGAAAGCAAGCCTGCAATTCGTTTGTAGAGTAAAGAGCTCTGTGTACACACACACACACACACACACACACACACACAGAGTACCTCCTGCAGGTAGGTAGTCTTCTCTTTTGCACCATCAATTTCTCTTTCTAATATCTCCTTCATTAACAAGTTTTGTGGCTGTTATGTTGTTAGATGATGGCAAATCAATTTCAACTCAGTGTGCAGAGCAGAACTCCCTTCAATAGGATTTTCTAGACAAAATAGAAATGCCCTACAAGGTTTTCTAGGCCATTTTTCTTTACAAAATGACATCAACTAGTCTTTCTCACATGGAATCACTGGGTGAATTTGAATTAAAACCTACTAATTAGCAGATGAAAACTATCCAGGGCTTGGTATTATTGGTGACATTGCTTAAAAAAAAAATCCAGATTTGAACCCTCTTCACTATGTCTGTTTCTACTACCCATGTCCAATCCTTCACATTTTCTGACTTTCAACTTCTTTGCCTATGTGAAGATTTCTATTTCTAATTTATTCACTGTTTCACACTGATTTAGGTTGCAAACTTCATAGCCTATTATGTTTCTTCACATGTATTTCAATATATATTTGTATTATCTGAGTTTTCTATTCTGTTTAAATATGTCCATTAATAGATAAGTAGTATCACTAAAGAGACATAGTTAACCAAGCAATATATATATATATATATATATATTGTCGTTATTGTTGTGTGCCGTCATGTTGGAACTGACCCTCAAGTGGGTTTTCGGAAGCAGTTAATCACATGGGACGAGGAGATTGCTCTTTCTTCTCACACAGAGCAGATGATGGATTTGAACTGCATGCATTCAGGGACTGAAACATAACTTCTTACCACTAGGTCACCGGGGGAGGGGGTGTGTGTGTGGGTGTGTATGTGTGTGTGTAGATATAAGTGATAACAGTGGCATCAGAACCAACCCAGAGATGAATCTTCAGTGGGTCTTCAGAGGCAATGAATCATGTGATAGGAGATTGCTTATCTGTCTCTGTGGAGCAGGTTCTGAATTTGAGGCATGTATCTTTGGGTTGACAGCACAATTTCTTAGAACTAAGCATCAGGCCTTTTGTTCATGGGGTCACTGCTCAACTTGAAGGCAATCAACAACAACAAGTTTATATATGTATATATAAATATATGCAGTTAATCATATGGAGAAAGGTTGCTCATCTTTTTCCTACAGAGCAGCTGATGGATTCTAACCATGTACCTTTGTGTTTGTAGCACAATTCCTTACCGCTAAGCCACCAGAGTACCCTGAAGTTTATATATGTGCATAAATGTATAAAATTTCCCAAGTGGTGATCTTGTTAAGTGCCATTGTGTCTAGTACAACTCATAATCCCTAGACTCTATCAACAACAAGCCTGAAACCTGCCCTATCCTGTGCCATCCCCTCACAATTTCTGACACACTTGAGCCCGCAACCACACAGTCACTGTGACAATCCACTGGTCAAAGATCTTCCTCTTTTTCTCCATCCCTCCACATTCCCAAACACTCTAGCAACATGTCCAAAGTATGTGAGACAGAACTTGTGATCTTTGTCTCCAAGGAGAACTATGGCTGTACTTTCTCCAAGACAAAATCTATTTGCTCTTTTGGCTGTCCATGGTATAGTCAGTCAGTACTCTTCTCCAACACCGCAGTTCTTCTTCAGTCATCCTAATTCACTGTCCAGGTCTCAGCAGCATAGCAAGTGATTGAAAAGACCATGGCCTAAATTTGATGAATCTTAGTCTTCAAACAAACATAATTGCTCCTCAACATTTGAGATCCCTGACTGCAGACTTTCCCAGTGCAGTATGTCTCCTGATCTCTCAACTACAGGTACCAAGTGTATTGACTGTGGATTCAAGCAAGATAAAATCATTAATAATTACAAGCTTTTCTCCATCTATGATGTTGTCTATAGGGCCAGTCGTGAGAATTTTTGTTTTCTTGGCATTTAAATAGAATGCATAAGTTGAAGGTTGCAGTCTTCGATCTTCTGCAGCAAGCATTTCAAGTTCTCCTTACTTTCAGGAAGCAAGCTGTCATCTGCATTATGAAGGTTATTGATGAGTCTTTCTTTGATCCTGATGACAAATTCTAATTCATTGAATAATTGAATAATTTGCTCAGCCTATTTTTATAAATTACTAAGTTTATAAAAAGATAATTTTAGTTTGAAGGCCTAACTGGACTGGGGCTACCAGCATTTTTTAAATTAATTTAGATAAAATTTGATTGTAAAAGTTTTAACTTGTTCAAACTGGTTTGACTAATGACTGTAAAAGTTGGAGTGGGCGTAGCCGGGATTGTGAGGCTGGAACAAACTAGGACAAGGTTTTGATCTGTTGTTTATAGGGTTACTGTGATAAGTAATTGCCTCAATAGCACTCAACAAAAAACAAGAAGAACTAAACTTGCTTGCAGAAGGTGAGTAGGGTGTGAAGCACTTGTTACAGAAGATTAAAGACTACAGCTTTTGATATGAATTGCCTCTCAATATCAAGAAGACAAAAATATTCACCATTTGACTAATAAACAACATCATGATAGACGGAGAAAAAAGTGAAACTGTCAACAATTTCATCTTGTTTGGATCCACAATCAACACCCTTGGTACCAGCAACCAAGAGCTGAGGAGATGCACTGCTTTGTGAAAGTCTGCTGTCAATAATATCTTCAAATTACTTAGAGCAATGAAATAATTTTAAGGTCATCTGATTCAGGCTATACTATTTTCAATCAGTTACTATGTGCCTGAGACTTGGGCAGTGGATAAGGATGAGTTGTGATTTAATATCCCTCGAACTTCCAAAAGAACAAACAGGTTTGGGAGAAAGTACAACCAAAGTTCTTGAAGGTAAAGATAACACAGCTTTGTCTCACATACTTTGGACATGTTGCTATGGGAGGCTATTCCTTGGAGAGGAACATCATATTTGGGAAGGTAGAAAGTCAGTGAAAGAGAGGAAGATACTCAACAAGATGGGTTGACAGTAATTATTGCCATGAACTCAAGTATGTCTGAAGTAATTGAAGGTAGTGCAGGATAGGACAAGGTTCAGATCTGTTGTTTATAGGGTCGTACTCAAGAGTTGTACCCAACTCTGTGTGATGACATCTAACAACAACAATACTTAGTACATAGGTTCATGTACATACTATGGCAGTTTAATAACTTCCCTTTCA